AAATCGCCAGTGAAGGGGTTGCACCTCCTGCTGGCGGTGCAGTGGGTCTATTTATATCCCCCCGACCCACTGGGGGTGTATGTCTAGTTAGAACATACACATGGCTGGGTTCTATGTCTAGTTAGAACATACACATGGCGGGGTGCTATGTCTAGTTAGAACATACACATGGCGGGGTGCTATGGAAATTTAAGCCTCTCATAGAAGGCAAAAGTGTTGGCTGGCTCTACAAAGGTGGACAAACACTGCATTGTCTCGGTGAGGGCATCAAAGACGACCAATGGCTGACCTGACTGTCCGTTAGCCCGGCGGGCGGCGGGGGAAGCTGTGGGGGTGGGTGTTTCTCCGGGTCGAGGGTGACCGGCAGACAAACGGTGGAGCGGGTGTCCTCTGGGCCCAGATCCACCGACTTGTTCACCAAATTCTGATAAAAAATATATTCAAGTCAGCATTTCATGTTTCAATTCCACAATGTTCAGATACATAAACAGAGAAAGGCACTCACTCCATTCATGGTCAACGATGCACCAGCCTTGATGAACCACTCAGTCCCACATGTGTACCCATGGGCATGAACACACATACAGGGGAACCTGTGTGAGACGGCCACCCATTGTCATAGAGAAAAGTGGCCGTAGAAGACGGGTGGCCGTAGAAGACGGGTGGCCATGTTAGGCAGGACTGATCAAGGTGAAGAAAACAAACAATTCCTTTCTGAGGTCCCAACCAATAGTAGCCGCGTTGTTGTTGTTGTTATTGTTGTTGTTGTTGTTGTTATTCTTGTTGTTTTCGCTGGGGTTTTTTTTTCTTTTTTTTTCTTTTGTTGCTGCTTTCGTGCACGGGTGACAATAAAACGAAATGTGAAAGACAAGGAGGACCGAGTGCTATGGCAAAACAAACACAAGGGTGGCCACCACTCGGAGAACAAGCGACGCTTCTGTCACAAGTTCATGTTGACGTCCATTGTTACTTTGTTACAGACTGGGTAAACAGTGACCACTCATCTCACTTACAATTTGTGTATGAGTTCTGGGCGGGGCTTATGGGTTATGAGCGAGACCGGAGATGACTAGTGAGAGATATTTCCCTCGTCAGCTGGCCCCTCTTCGCATCATGTTATTTACGCCAGATCGGTGATGCAGCGCCTCAAAACTATGTCACGCCGTACATTTCATAGTCTGTTCCTCTCAAAGTCACTTCCCCTGGTTATTTCCTATAGTTAATACCGGGGACAGAGGGAGCGAGGAGTCATCTCAGTCACTACGTCGGTAGTAGTGGTATGTGGTGAAGTTGGTCAGTGTGCGCATAATTAATGAATTCATCAAATTTATGCTCCAGTGAAGGAAAAGGAAGCAGAGTTGGGTTTTTTTAGTTTTAGAAAGAGTTTTACGGCACCTGCTGCGTTGCAACAATAAGGTCATATAAATGCCGAAGAATAGATGCGTTACAAGAGAGTTACATACATAAAACAGGAGGAGGAAGAGAGATAAGGACCATAGGTGCTTGATAGGAAAGAAGGAGTACACCACACCAGAGCACCCGCCAACCACCCACACTAGAAGAAGAAGAAGAAGAAAAAGAAGAAGAAAAAGAAGAGGAAGAAGAGGAAGAAGAAGAAGAAGAAGAAGAAGAAGAAGAAGAAGAAGAAGAAGAAGAAGAACAACAACAACAACAACAACAACAACAACAACAACAACAACAACAACAAAAACAAGAACAAGAAGAGAATGACGAAGAAAAAGGAGTAGAAGTAGAAGAATAGAAAAGATTTGGCGTATTGTGCGCACTAATGCAATGAGATACGGGCCAGGAATAAGGAGAGGGGACGTGACCAAGACAGGTCAATGATTGTACCGACCGAGAGGAAATATGCAGTAAGGTATGTTTTGAAATTTTAATCAAAATATTAACTAGAATTACTAGAATGCTCTGACTCCATCTTTCATGTGTGGGTGTGGGTATGACGTGACGGTAAAGAAAGAGAAATGGTGTTTAAAACCCATTCAGACAAACCCTCTTGCTTAATTTACTATGAAAACAATAAGGCGATTCCTCGGTTGTGAGGATCAGACTATTAGTTGTACGGCGTGAAACTTTCACCGGATGCCTGACCCCAATCTCGCCTAAATTGAGGAGTGGCTCGTCTCTACTTTTTTGTCTCCGGCAAGACGTACGGATCACACGCTTACCTCACCAGCAGCTGAAAATTGGTTACTTTTTGGTCAACAGTGGGAGGGGCCAACGTAACATGATCGGTTGGAGGGACTACCTAACAACAACGACAGGTGGTTGAATTATGACGGCTCGCCCACAACGCCAGGGGCCAATGCACAATTCATAACAAAAGGTAATGGAGTCACTAAGGTGGCGGTCAAAGACAGGTGTTATAGCTTGGTGTGATAGGGCTTGTGAGTTAAAATATGGTGGTCGCGTTGAAAAGGTGCCCATTTTACATAGTTAAATTATATAGAAAAAACGCAAGGGGGGAAATGGAAAGTGGCCGTTTGTACAGGTGGCCGTCTTATAGAGGTGGCCGTCAGGGCAGGTTTCACTGTACTCGTTCTTTCTCTCTCTCTCTTCATCTCTCTCTCTCTCACACACACACACAATCACACTCACAACACCCCCCTCCCTCCCCCCACACACACACAAACATATACACTCACAGTTTTCTCTCAGTCCCACACATTGAGCACGATAACATACAAAGAAAATCATTCTGTCTCCTGTTGCTAGAAGCACACCTGCCACTCATTCATCAGGATATCCCAATTTTTTTCCTCAAATTTCAAGCATCCCGACTTTCCCAATTTCGTTCGCGTGTATCCCGATTTTTTGGTGCCGTCTGCTGCACTGGATTTTTCTAAAAGCTTACTTTGCCTTCTTCTCTGTCGCGGGAAACACCCGTTAAACTTTTAGTCAGCAGGAACTCGGAGCACTCTTTCCCAAATATCAATGCTGGATTTAGTCGTTGACTCGCCCCAAGTGTTGGATCTTTGCTCGCACGTGTTATTTCCATTATACGTAAGGGAAGTAGTATCGATTTGGCATTCAGACTCGAGACATTCTCAAGATCTACTTTCGCTTTTGTTTCTACTTAGAATTCTCCTAGGATGGCCTGACAACTGTTTCAACTGCGACATTCAAATGATCAATACTATTCGTAGTTCTGCTGACAACTGTTTCAACTGCGACATTCAAATGATCAATACTATTCATAGTTCTGCTGACAACTGTTTCAACTGCGACATTCAAATGATCAATACTATTTGTAGTTCTGCTGACAACTGTTTCAACTGCGACATTCAAATGATCAATA